TCCAATCTTGGGGAAGTTTCTTCTTCCTACCATCTCCCTGACCCTGATGAGCGGACCCAAGCTTAGCCTCTATGTCTAAGGCTTTCTTGTTGAAAGAAGCGAAGTTATGTATGTCGATGTTGGCCTCATCACTAACTTATTTTTGACATATGTTGACAGATATCTCAAATAATATGCGAGTACCGACAGGTCATAACGCACACCAAATACTACAATCAGACGTTTTACCGTTTCTACGACGTTTGTGACTTCACGCACAGTCCGGTATTGCTTGGAACAAAGATTGTTTGTCGGGTCAGTGACATTTTGAGCCCCTTGAGGGTCATGCCACCTGTTGTACACCGTCCGTACGAAGTCCTCTAATGTCTGGGCATGTGCCTAGGCATCGAAGTTTTGACCATAGCCTTGTTGTTGCACTAGACCATTTAACCATCGTGCCGCCGATCCCTCTAAAAAGGAGGCAGTGACTACAACTTCCTGCTCTGGCCTTGTGAGCTTGTGCCTCACATTAGTGGGCACAGTCCTCACCGAGGTGTCCATGTCTTCTTCCTTTTTCTTCTCGCCAGAAAAAGGTTTAGGACTAAGCAAAGGAATCTTGGGCATCCACTACATAAGCTGACCTGAGCCTGCCCTGACGATGGGACTGCTACAATGGTTGCATAGCCACAGAGACAGGTTGCTCCACGCTAACCTGAGCCTTCCCTGACGATGGGACTGTAGCTGCCACCGTCGTTGATGGTCCGAAAGAAGTTTTAGGGACCGGACCACTAACTGCTACTAAACCACCTGAAGGAGTCATGCCAAACATAGGAGAAAATGAGGGCCCTACCGATGACGACATCACTGAGGGACCCGCAACCGAAGCGGGAGCTAAAGCGCACTGAGGCTGCCTCTTCATTGGACGAGGAACCTGCAGTGCAGCCAAAATCCGATTCTGACCAGCCACTAGTTCAGCCAGCACTTCCTCCTGCACAACCCGTGTTTCTGCCACACAAAGAAGAGAACGACTCAGCGCTTGCATCGGAGAGCGTCGACTCGTATAGTGCCTCTAATCTACTTAGCTCCTGCCTCCTGCTCCCTAATCTAGCTTTTCTCAATATAGCTTTATGTCTCCTCTCTTCTGCCTCTCTCAATTGCCACTGCAGCTCGTCATTAAGTTTTTTTACTTGGAGGATCTCATAATCCTCCAGTGTGAGTTGAGTTTGTTGGCTGACTTGCGAGCCAACATATTAACTAATTGGACCCTGAGAGATACCCTAACTAACCCCGACGAAGTGGCATGGGACGAGGCCTGTGACATGGAGGCGGTAGCCATTGCGGCCTCTAAGCTGGCTTCTGTTGACCTAGTCCTCCTGAATGTCGCCCTCTCCCTGGCTTCCCTCCGCAGCCTCCTTTCCTCTTCTGGACCTAACTCCGGGAAAGTGATCGGTCGACTGAGAGCAATCATAGGGATAACTCTAAGAGGTTCCACTAATCGTTCCTCCTCCTCACTACTGCCTGCCTCACTCATGAGCTACAGTGTGTGTGATCTAAACTAGAACCCACATTGGATCCTACCTCCGCATGACGCACAAAGTTCGGTCAGCTTGGAGAGAAGTAGTCAAGTGGTAACCAGCAATCAATGTCAGGTCCTACTAATTCTATTTTTAGATTACTTTGGAACAGATGGCCTCCAACAAAGAATACGACTATCTGCAGTTCTCTGTTAGTTGTCAGTCAAGCCCGTAACATATATAAAATAAAAAAATAAAATAGTGCCACCTGTATAGATGCATGCTGGATGGAATATTTTCTAATTAGTACCTCTGCGAACAGTTACCGGAATCCCCCCCTCTCCCTGTATCCTTCTTGAGTAGTCACTTTGTGTGGACGCCCTGAGCATCTGGTTAAGCGGCGTGCCCGAAGGTGTGCACTTCGGCCCACCCCTGTACCCCAAGTCTATGCTAAGCCTGCCAGCCCCTGCACCTTGTTTACTTCCGGTTTGATCTGGCTGATCAAGAGGCAGTTTAAGGACAGCCCCCAAGGTCCTCAGGAATTATTTAACGTCGCAGACAGGACGACAATCACAGCCAGGGTTCAAATCCGGAACCCGCCAGAAATATTTATAGACGGTCTGCTGAGCGTCTGTCAAAGGGCTGGCATGCCCAGCATGACCTCTATTGCGCAGCAGCAAAACCAAGGACTTGCGGCAGTGGGTTGACGTGATGACCGTGACCCGAGTGCTTCGTCCAAGGTCCTTCATAGGCTTCGCCCGTCTCCCACCAGCTTGCTGCCCAGGAAGAATGTCGACTCTCAAGGTTGAGCGCTCGTGACACCTCACGTTGAGAGGACTCTCAAGACAGAGCTCACTTCCTCACAGTAAGAACTAATGAAGAAGGTAGATAAGGAAGAGAGCAACGTACCTCATAATGCTGCCCCCAACCACAGATTTCTCACCGGCAACCTGATGTGCATTTATGATGTGATCGGTCTTTGCCTCGACACGACCAACAACAGAATGCAGTTCCACCTCGGCTTACATGCCACATCAGCGAGCTCTCATCATCCAGCGTACACCCCTAATGTCACCACATAGCTTCCTGGCACGCCCAGACGACCCTGGGCTGCCTTCAGTCCAACTGCCCCACACCTCATGCGAAGCACCGAACAGCTATTGCGAAGAACCAGTAAAGCGCAGTTCGAACCAGCTCTGATACCAAATTGCAAGGAAAAATGAGCAACAGCGTGATGCCAATATCCAGATTGCACAATCACATTGCAAGCCAGGAAGTGTTGCAGCGTCCAGGAAGCAGAATTGCACCAATATAACACCAATGGAGAATCATAACACTGAAAACCGGATGTCAGTGAGAGCTTGCACTCACCACCACCAACACAAGTGTCCAGGCCCTTCTTCCTACTTGGCGCTCAGTGCCCAGCCTACTTCCTACACAGCTACTGCCTGCCTACTAATTGACAATGCAACTGTTCACGTCAGCAGCCAACGGAGTACTTGAAGATGTCACCCAATACAAGGTATGTGCCCTCACATCATCATCATCATCATCATCATCATCATCATCCTTCTCCCTCTCCCTCGATCTTCACCCACGTCTTCCCTCTGTACACCCGAAGACCACCCCTGTGCCCTGCCGTACGTCCAAGCCCTCAGCCATCTATGGAGGCTGGGCTATGGCGCTGGCCTCAGCAGCGCCCTTCTTCACCACATGACCACACGTACGCAGCACCTTGCTCCAGCGCTAGCAGCCAGCACGCGAGTGATTGCTCCAGCAGCGCTGCCGCCAGCCAGCAAGTGCCTGAATAACCCGCCAGGCAGCGAGCTCTTTCCTATATGGAAAGAGTCTGGCCTGGCCTGCAGCCTGACTGGGCTGGGCCTGCGCCCAGAAGCTTATTGTACTGCAATCAGACTCGCTCTCATTCACACTTCTCACGCATGCAAACAGGTGTGCAGCAAACTGGCGACAAGCGCCCACTCAGAACTCAGAGATATGGTAACCGAGAACACAGTTCAGATTCAAGTTCACTTCGGTGGCTATGGCGACTCAGCGCCCACACAACTCACTGTTCACATACAGTACCAGGAGGCTGGGCCTCTGCTGCTGAGGCTAGGCCTCGTTCAGTTACGCCTCCCAACTCTGTGTATGTTGCTGCGATTGTGGCCCAGGGCCTGCGCTTCAGATAAGGCCTGGAAGGCCGAAGAAAATCTGTGCTGCTTGGGACCTGGGTTCCCTCAACCAACTGGCGCGACACAACTGCCTGCGCCCCGAAATTCGAAATTGACAGCGAGGGCCTTTGTGCTCTGCCAGGCCCACCTTCACTTAGGGTGGGCACAACTGCAGTAAGGGCCCCTTAGGCCTGCTGAGGAGCCTGACCCTCGCAACTGCAAAGTTTGAACTTTATATGAAGTTAGTATTGTGCCTGCTTTGCACTGTTTGCAACTTTGCATCTCTGCTAGTTGAACGTGCTCGGTTGATTTGCTGCGAGACAGGTGCTCTGCTGCATGAACTACAAAGTGCAAAGCAGGTGAGTGCCTGCCAACACCCCCACCCACCCCCCCCCCCCCCCCCCCCCCCCCCCCCCCCCTTTTTTTTTTTTTTTTTTTTTTTTTCCCCCCCGGTCCGGACTATTTTGCACCCGGGGGACCGGTCCAGACTGTCCGGTGTCCGGTGGTGTCCGGATCACCGGACAGTCCGGACCGATCCAGACGCTAGGCCGGAAGACAGTCCGGACGTGTCCAGTGTCCGGGTCCGCGGTTACCATGAATTAAATGCAACATTTTCTTTTTTGGATTTTTCTCCGTCCGTCTTTCTTTTCTTTACCCTCCATGTGGTGGGTGGGGGGGGGGGGGGGGGGGGGGGGGGTCATCGAAGTTGCCACCAATTTACTGAAAACAACGCTCAGGATATAAAAGTAACACCAACCCACCATTATGTTTGTATACAACACCCAGGCATTATACTTTTGGGTGAAGACGGTAATAATTGTCTTTTTTGTTCTGGCATTCCCCCTACCTGCTTCCCTCCTTTCCCGTTTTGTTGGTGCCATTTTCATGAAAGAATCTTGCTCCTTTTTATTATCAGAGGAAAAATAGGCAACGTGATCCCCTCCAGAGGTGACCGCAAATTGCTCAATCCCATAGCTCAGCAGGTCGCAAAATTTTGCAATGCCAAATACGATTTTGGTGGTTGACAATGCAGAGTGACTGTAACCGTGCCACAAATTCTTATGAATATTGAAAAATAGCCCCCCCCTTCCCGCCCCCCCCAAGAGTTTGACTATGCCCTCAGTCCATTCCCAAAGGAGATGGAGTGAAGCAAACATACAAAAGTCAACAATTGATCTGGCAGGAGAGTTTCAGCTGCCCCTATGCATTCAATCAGGGTCTTGCACAGAGCCCAGCACCAGCTCCAGCATGTGATGAGTCGACATCGCAATTGTGTTAATTGAAACCACAATAAATAATAGTAAATAACACAGAAGAACTGCTCTCCAATCGAATGGCAGTTGGAGCATATTTATTGAAGGACCAAGAATAAATGGGAGAGTAACAGAGGTAAGGAAGGGAGCGGGGAGGGATCAGGAGAAGAGAAAGTAACAAAGGAATGTACAAATTACTCGGAAGGCTAGAGTTTTCTGTCAGGAAAAATAAACGCAAAAACCCACAGCAACAACACCCCGGACAAAGACACGTCCTTCCTACCCCCTATAGTCAGCAATTGTTTTGCGTGCTCAAATTATTTTGACAGTTGGTTAAGGGAGACCCACCCAACACTGCATACGCATCTCCAGTGCTTAAACCACCAGTCCTTGGCCCAGCTATCAGAAAAAAATAGGGTAGAAACGTTTCTAGTTGGATGAATTTGGGCGCTCCTATAGTGGCCCGTACGTTTCCTAAAATCGTGGCGGGCACAACTCTAGGAAGTACTGGTCTTTTTTATGGGAAACTCACCATCGTTCCTGACCCAACGTGTCTATAAGCACAAAGAGGAGTCATCGCATTGAGAAACAAACAGAAAGCCAGTCCGAGAGGAACAACTGAAAAGTCGCCGCCTGCATACGGGGGCATTCTCTGTACTATTATGAAAGTCACAATCCACTTCTTACCACAGAAGGGACCCTTTTTCAACACCATCTACCAAACCGTTTGCCAGTCAGGGAGGGAGACTAAAGAGAGCATGCAAGATCGATGGCCCCTTCTTTCACGACGCTAGAGAATCGATTGATGACCCCTTCTTCACGTTGCGACAAAATCAATCCATCAAAATCCTTCTCAAGACGTTGTTAGAGAATCCATCCGTGGCCCCCCTTTTTCCACATTGCAAGAGAATCAATCCCTCAAAATCCTTCTCGCAAAGGTACATCTAGATGTGCACCAAACACAAATGAAGACAAGAAACAACCACCCAATTCTCGAGACGTTGCTAGAGAATCAATCTGTGGCCCCTCATCTTCCACATTGCGAGAGAATCAATCCATCAAAATCCTTTTCAAGACGTTGATAGAGAATCAATCCGTGGCCCCTCTTCTTCCACATTGTGAGAGAATCAATCCATCGAAGTCCTTCTCAGGTACAAATAGATGTGCGCCAAACCACCACCCAATTCAAGGTGGTCTCGACTCGACGACTAGACAGAGAATGACCTGCTAACCGGCAATTAGAACCAGGCGATGATGATATACGAAGGCTTTGCTCCTTACAGTCTGCCCATCCTCATCCTCATCCTCATCCTTACCGACCACAATCTCGCACAGCAACGATAGACCCGGCAGGCAGAAAAAAAGGATAGGGCTTCTGGTTCCGCAAAGTTGTCAACAGCAGGCCAAGAGTCTCACCACGAAACAAAGATTTGAAAGTCCCATCACAGCTGCAAGGGCCCGCTTCTTGCAGTCCATCCATCATGAAAAGAAAAGTGGCAGCAAAACGTTGCTACTGCAGGCTGTCAATACGGACCCATGCAATCGGGGCCGGTAGGATGGAAGTGCTCAGAATGAGATCTCCACGCACCATGACGAGAGACTTTCGATTCAACCTAAAAGAGACTTAGAGCCACAACACAACCAATTCTTCAATCCGCAAGGCAAGAAGCTAGCCTATCGCTGCTGAACAGTACAGCAACACTGAACAGTACAGGAACAGCAGGTTATTTGCTAGTGATGAGTCAACAGAAAACGAGAGAATTGTGGACAAGAAGTGAAGAACAGGTAGTAGAAGGAAGGTTTTGGACATTTCATTTAATGCATCATACTCCGTCCCTTACACCACAGAGATATGCACACAGGAACAAGAAGAACGTTTTGGACAACTCATTCATCATGCACCGGCTTTATAATACACAAGTACACAAAGGTATGCACACCTGTCTCCATCAGGCCCACAATCCATTGACGGCCATTAAATCACATGTAAGAGACATCCGGCACTTAGGTGTTTGATTCGTTACCAGACCCCCTCTACAATACAAATTCAAGTGCACAGATTCATGCGCACCTTTCTACATCGGTGCCATATCCACAGATGTGTTCATATGATTAAACAGGAAACACATTTCGCACGCGGGCACACACACACACACACACACACACACACACACACACACACACACACATGTAGACACCTCTCTTCCCACCATCGCCGTCAGCACAATTATCGCCACTACCTATCCCCTACCCAGCCATATATTCATCAAGTTCTAGCACCACACCGTCCTCCCATCTTTGACTTTCTAACACACCTCAATGACCCATGCCATCGATCGGGCACTAATCTTTTCCGGCCAAACTTTTGACGAATGAGAATCGTGCAAACACAGTTTAACTGTCCAACTCACCCATAGCCGCCAAGAGGAGCTCTTGGAACTCTCCTGAGGTTGCATCTCGGATGGCATTTTGCAACGGAGTGCTATCTGTGCTCGTTGCATACTTGAAATTGTAGACCTCCTTGACATCCTCCAAATCAATCTCGCATCTTGTCAAGATTATTCTGATGATCGCATTCTTATCCACGCGCGAGCCTCCCAATGCCTTCCTTAACATCACTGCAAAGAACTCAGGTGTGGAGATTGCACACATGGCAATATACAGCAGAGTCTTGTGCAATTCACCTGATATCTTATCCAGGGCATGGAAAATGCTCTCCTTAAACTCAGTTTTGTACAAACCAAAAATCTTGCTAAGCTGAGGAAGACTCTCTCCTGTAAATACATCAATGAAACATTTGTCGTTGACACCCCATCTTCCTTGTGTAGCTTGGTAAAGATCTCTGGCAACCTCCAATGCACGAACTGGCTCCACAGGCGCCTTGCTTCGTGGGTGGCTGACTAGCTTTGTAAGGATCTTGCAGAACTTTCCTGACACATCACCTTTGATGTCGTCTACAAGTTCCCGGCGGAACATTTCGACATACATAGCCTTGATTTTCTCGATTTCGTCATACGTTCGGCTGCAGAGGACCTCCCTCAGAACATGCTCGTCTGTGCCCAGGCCCTTCATTGCCCTGTGCAACCACTCAGCATCACGCACCTCCACCGGGCGAATCAGCGAAAGAAGCCCATCGCGAACATGACTGTTCGTGCAATGCCTGATATCCTGTGCCAAGTACCGGCCAAACAAGGATCTGTAGGAGTTGCCGATCTGCAGCCGTTGTTCTCGGCTTCTATGAGTCAACAAGTCAATCAGTTCCCGAGTCATCTTCGGAGTTCCTCCAGAGGGGGTACCCGATGAACCATCACGCACTGCATCCACACATTCGTAAAAAAATTGGATTGAGAACAAAAGACAGTGAAAAGCACATTGCACTTACGTAGACATAAGGCTGGATGCCCTCCAGCCACGAACACGAGCAGGCCGAAAGGATGAACCACAGACTAAGAGATGTTCTGACAGACAGTCTGATGGGCAGGAGATGGAGAGATTTGCAGCTGAACTGAATGTCAGGCGACTGGCACAGATGTACCAGCGACAGCCCACTTGTTCAATAAGCAGAGCATCCACTAAATGGAAAGATGGACAGACATACTGATAGGCAGACATATGGATGGATGTGGGCATGCTTATACACAGATGATCAAAACCGATCAACAAACGGCCAGCCAGGCAGACAGGCAGGGAGCTCGCCAGACAGATGGTGAAATCGACCCATCAACTAATGTTACATGCCAAGATGAGCGATGTACACCATAACCGAGGATCCGCAATGTGATAAAAAGGACAGAATGGACGATGCAGTGCAAGTAGAATCTCAACAAGCAATGTGCATTCTCATACATACAAAACGGTGCTGAATAGCGCAGTGGAAGATTTAGATACAAGTCCTGACCTAACCAGGACTGACCTCATTCATGTAGCAAAAGATAGTGAAGCAGAATGCTAGAATGCTGATGACTAGCCCAATCAATGTTTGAATGCAGACCAAACATACATCGTATCCATCACCAA